TATAGTAAGTCTACTGTTAGTATGTTACACTCAAAAATCCGAATTTGGACAATGTCCAAAATCTTTACCCACATCGTGATGTGGACAGTGTGAAATACCCATGTCGTGTAGTGAGCATTTTATTCGGACATTGGCCGAAGCAAAATGCCCAAACCGCGTCATGGGTAAACTGATTTACTCAAATGCTGAAGTAAAAACGTTCTTCGGCGATTTAGCAAATCCAAAATAGGCTACCCACAACGTGATGTAAGAATTCTTACATTAATTAATTAATTAATTTTGTCCACATCAGGTTGAAGGTATTTCTAGTTTGTGTAAAGGCCGAAAAAGCTAGCCTGTATAAACTACTGCATACACAAAATACTCCCGCCACATCAAACTATGCGAATTTCCATTTGCCTGATTTTATTTTCAATTAAGGCAAACTTAATTCTAAGTTATTTAATAACATAGGTTTAATAAGAATCTAGGTTTGCTAACAGGGAAGCTAATAAAGAGTAATTATAAATAACAATAAGTTAGTTTTTAATTTTAATAGTTTTTGTAAAAATTATGGAGTCAGATATTCCCCAAGTAGGCCTATGGAAAACATAGTCCTAACTTTGCCAACCTAAGGCTAATAGTTTGATACATTTCTGAATGAAAGTTATGTTGATATCCATTGGAAATATAGCATAAATGAATGTTAGCCAAGGTTTGTAATTAGTCTATATTATAACACTATGGATAAAAATGAGCTTTGGAAGCAAAACAAACAGACCGGAGTACAACATAACCTAATTTAGTAATGGTTTAGTTATATCCTTTAGTTAACAGTCCCAGTGGTCCCACTAAGTTGTCAAGAATAGGTTAAGTTTATATATTTGGATGTGTTGCGTCAAAGAAAGAGACGTAAATTAATTTATTTTCATTAATACTTACTTTGTAATGTTCGAAGCCTGACAAATGTTGTGATGATAAGTATTGATAATCCATGGCTTTTGAGTTTTGTTTTATGGCACCAAATTAAAAATACGTCTTGTTCGTTGAAGCCCTATCTAATGTTTACAATCCGATTCAATAAGAATATTAAAATATCACATTTCTACTTAAAATAAATTATGACCATTAATTGTTTGAGCTTTCGAGAATAATTAATTAACTACGACCAAACGAGAAACAAGCAGAAGAAGACTGAAGACTGAATGAATGAATGGAATGGAATGGAGTGTAGTGGGTAGTGGCTTCTTCTTCTTCTTGCTTGCTTGTGTCTGATCTGTGTGAGTGTGAGTGGAGTGAGGTAAATGAAGAGAGTTAGAGTTGGTTGAGTTGTGTTGTGGTTGTGGCGAGGTTGAGGTTTGCGTTTGAGGTGTGAAGAAAAATAACAGAGGTTAAAATACCGTCTCGCCGCAGTAATAAAATAAATTATACTTTTTTTAACTTTAGGGACATGTTCCTAGGGTCAGTAACAGACTACTGCTTTCTCATTCTAGTAAAAAGGAAATGAATAAACGTATCGGTTACAATACAACAAGAAGCAAAGCATTCTTTAGTCTGCCCTACCCTACCTTTGACCTTGTCTTGTTAACTATTGTTTGTTTATTATGTTGTCGTTTTGCCCTAGTCGTCACTCCTGTTAATATAATTTCCCCTCTTCATAATTAATTAATTGTCTCATCAGCAGTTTGAGATACAAGATTCAACCCTTTTAGATGGTTGCCTTTGATGATTAGATACTCTACCAGACCAGAGCTTGTGTGATGGTCAGGCAGTTATTGACTTTTTTTAGTTTGATTATGGGTACAAGCCCAAAGCCCAGTTTTGGCTATTTGCCGTTAATATTGGCAATCGGTCAGTGGCAAGCGTGTCCCAACTCCGCTAGCCAACATTGTCTTGCAATTTATTTGGGGTTTTGTTGAGTGTCACAAAGTATTGAGTACGTCGATTGGTACATCACGTTCGCGGTTGTTTGGATCGTGGCATGGAATGTACGGCCTGATTGTTCTGCTGACATGAGGTGTCATCATTCCGGGTGACGTGTAGGACCGCCGATCCTGGGGGTAGTCAGTCTGAGTCGAGCCACTGCCGCCTTTAACTACAGGCCGCGGCCTGATAGAATTGGCAACGTCGCAAGTGGTGTTGTCTAGCGCCAGACGTCCCGTAAGATAACATGGCAGACAGGTGATACCAGCTCCTTATTTCGCGTATTATTCATTAAAATTAAAATTTATAAACATAAATTTATTGAAAGATTGAAAATAAAACATATAGAATTGAAAACAAAAATAATATTTAAATAGAAAATCAATTTTTGTACTTTTAAAGTTGGGTCAATATTGTCATAGTCCAGTAACCAAGCTTTCGTAAATACACAAATATCATTAGCTGCTGCCAAACTAAACAGCTGTTACAACACCACTTGCGACGTTGCCAATTCGAAGGCCGCGGCCTGGAGTTAAAGGCGGCCGTGGTCGAGCTCGAGGTGCCGGTGAGCCGCGGTTATGCGCCACCTCTTTCCCTTCAGTTCGTGCATTATTTGAATTACTGCGGCATTCGTGGGTGCTGCTGTAAAACATTATTGTGGCACAAATCAATCGCTAAACTGTTTTAGATGATGATCTTTCTTGATTTCAATTTTATATTATTTCAACCCGTTACTTAATAACGTTAAAACAAAAATGGTAACGTTCTGCATCAATGGGTACTGTTGGATTGAATCACGACCAGTTAAGCATTATACTTTGTATACTTTATACTTGTGATTGTATTTATTGATTGTTGGATACAAAAATATATGGTGATTTGGCCATAATATTTACTTAATAATTACAACTTACGTCAATCAATCCAGTTATATCTATGGAGGACGCACGTTTTGGTCTTTAGGTCATCCTTTTGCTCCGCTGTTACACTTCCATACTTATAGATTCATTGTTGGTGTAGCAACCGCGTCAAATATTTTACATTGAAAACATAGTCTGACCACGTAAACATAAAAACACAAAAACACGACACTGACGAAGACAAAAACATTTAAATAAAACTGTCGCCGTGCGCACGGCTGAGCGGGCTCGGGACTGCGGTGGCACAGATTGTCCTCCAGCGGTCACGTAAAACTACCATATCTCAGTTAATACTCGCCCAATCTGAAAATTAAGGTGTCAATCGATTTGTTATAAAATTGCCTTAAAAAAGTTATACTTTTGTACAATATTTGTAAAATCAACGGTTTTAAGTTATTTTGAGAAACAAAATTGAAAATGGCCGCCATTTCGTTTTGAGTTTGAAAAATCGTCAAAATCTTTTGGTATCTTTTTCTAGTTGTCATATATGTTTGTGCAAAGTTTCAATTTCGTATATTAAAGCATTATTTATAAAACAAATAATAACTGAAAAAACAAAATGGCAGCTGTGTGGTAACTAAGGACATCCTGACAATTTAAATATGATATTTAGGTATGTTCATTAACCATTAATCATTAACAATGCCCTAAAATATTGGTAGAGAGTTCCGGGACACTCTGTATAGATTTTCAATTCATGTTGTTTTGGGTTTCAATACTGTATTTTTTATTATCAATATTTTAATAAATTTATATTCATAAATTTAAATTCAAATCAACAAAGTGCAAATTAATGAGCTGATGTTAACTGTCTGCCATGTTATCTTATGGGACGTCCGACACTACAACCTTATACTTGCGACGTTGCCGATTCTACCAGGCCGCGGCAGTATAACACATCTACCATAGCCATAATGTTCTACCACTGCACCTAAACAATAGAAAAAAGTAAATTATCAAACATTTACACATGGCCACAGATTATTATTTGTTAAATAAAAAAAAACAACATAAACATAACTGTGATCAAGAATACTTATAAGAATAACATGGAGCTAAAAAGAACGATCTAGGCCGGATCACAGTCTAGATTCTATAAGAAATAAACGGCTAGACATGGCGTAAAGCCCCTCAAGCGTAAGCAAACTCGGCCTAGTTCTGATGAAGTGCGACAAGTGTTCCCAGGCTAGAGTCCGAAGATTAGAGGAGGTTTTTAGTGGGTATAGTCTCTGGGCCTTAAACTCGTTGGAGTCCCACTCCCACACTACAAGCTAGCCACCTGTGTGCATAAATGCGTTTGCCCTCCTCTCAAAAAGAATAACATGGAAACTTTGAACCCCCGTGGGGCATAGACCTACAGGATTTTCACAACTTAAATATGCCTATGTGTTTCTTAAGACTATCAAGAACCTCTATTCAAAATGTCAGCTCAATCGGTCCAGTATAGTTTTTTTCAAAACAGCAAGTTTGTAAGAGCGGCAAACCGTTGTAAATGACTTGGAAAATAGGGGTGAACCTCCAGCCTACCATAAAAGCCCAAGAAATGAGATTGCGCCTATAGAACCAAGGAGCGCCTCTATCTCGCGATTGCAGAAAGCATTTGAAATTATTGTGCGATAAAAAATTCACGATTACACCGCGATTGCGTTTGGGGATCTTCTTCTCTCTCCACCATCAGAAGGAGAATACGTTCATTGGTTCATTATTTCGATTACTTCCCCATTTCAGGTAGGTGACGATGTGATTTGATAAATTGATTAGTTTTTAGCTATAGTGGGGGTGTTAAAGACTTCAGCCGCCGAAGTTAGACGCTGGGGAGGGTGACGGTGACGATGTCTTCGCGATGGCGGGCCCACGTGCGCCAAATTAATTGGCCCTTTTTACAATAAAAATAAAATACTTGCCTATCAGCATAGACTGAACAACACAAGGGAGTATGTTTTATCTATGCTATCAGTTACATTTACTTCTATCTTGTATAAGAGTAATATCATTGATTATATAACTTGATTTTGTGCTGTTAATGTCTATACAAACGATACATATCATCTTTATTCAATGTTTTATGTGTACGTGCGTTTCGTTTTGTCAGCCGTGGTTGGCTAACTCAGTTGAAGTCGTGGAGAAGAAGTTGTTTTTGGAAAACAAAGGTAAAGTTGTCAATTTGTCAAAGCTGAGCCGACGTCAGTACTCAGTAGTAGTGTAGTTAGTCAGCAGAGATCAGGATTAGTTGTGCAATTGTTCGTAGTTTCTGGTTGAAATTGATAAGAAGTGTGTGTTGCCACATCGACAAGAATTCATTTCGTTTGTTGATTGTTAGATCTGAGGTAGAAGAGCCATGTCTTCAGAAGAGAAAGAATTGAAAGGGGGACATCCTCCTGCAGGTATAATGGATTTATAAACTAGACTAGTCTAATGTGCTTATGTTTGGATAAACAATAATAACAGGTCTATAAGATACTTATCAATGATGTTCTAAGACTTCATTATCCTGGTTATTGAAACAAATTTTGAAACCAGCTAACATTAAAAGTTGTTGTGTTAATAGCTAATAACTTACAGCACACACACACAGCACGTACAGTATTTCAGTAACACGTGTCTGTGCCAGTTGGTAGACATGGGCCTAACTTTACATTGTTTTGTTTTCCATTCAATAATAGGCCTAGGTCTGTTCTCATTTGTAGTATAATGGGTACAATTCCAGAGAGAATATACAATAATGTGTGAATCAGACCACCCGTCTACATACTTTTACGGGAGTACGTTTTAATTCACCTAGGAACGCAAAATAAAACTATTCCCCCTTAAATCACATAGGCCCATGAATAATCCTACTTAAAACATGATCCAAGCACTGGGTGTTCCAGAAATAAGTCATGGGTTTTAATCTCGAAATTTCCTTAGGTATGTCTACTGTACCTTAAGATCACATTGTTCATTTGGTTATTATTTAGTACGGTAGGCCTATAGGCTAGGTGCCTCCAAACGAATTTTTAATTTTGATATCTTACTTCAAAGTTTTTTACCTCCTGAATCCAAATATACCTACCATTATTTTTCACCGCAGATGAATATTTCTCAAGATACCTATCGCCGTAAAAATATACAACATTAAAATAAACAATATAGGATGGATGACATTTACAAGTAGAATGAACTGTGGGTTAACTAATGTAAGCCTACAGCTGACTTTTCAACCACAAGACAAGCAACTGGAAGTAACAACTTTTGAACTTTATTAACTCACTCTGATTGTGTCATCGGCATTATGCCTAGTGACGTCATTTTACTTCACTACAACTAGAACACAAAAGAAAAATACTCATACTCTTACGTGCTGCGTAGTGCTAGTCTGCTACGCCGAAACAAGTTCAGGTTAAGTGAAGAGAGTAACATGGTTGGAGAAGAATAACTCGTTTGTTGATTAAACATGATAGGCCTAACATCGTTGTAGAATCATTTCAGGAGTGATTCTGTACCGGTACCGGTAGTCAATAGCACAGAAAACATACTACTATAACCCAGAATGCCAACCGCATGGTAAAAACCATTAAGTGTTTTGAGAGAGCTTTGCCTGTCAATCCGTAGGCAGCGCCACCAGCGTTGCTATGCTGAGTGCATGGCAACGCTGATGGCGCTGCCTACGGATTGACAGGCAAAGCTCTCTCAAAACACTTAATGGTTTTTACCATGCGGTTGGCATTCTGGGTTATAGTTGTATGTTTTCTGTGTCAATAGGCCTAATGTTTTCTATAGGTAACAGGAATTTCATCACATTATGGAGATATAAGTTAGATGGACTGGTGGACTAATTAAATCTAGGTAATCCTTATTTAGGCATGTCAGAGTGGTAGGTTAAAGTAGGTTATAATGTATTGAGTTGTTAGTTCATGTCGCCTGCAGACTGTTTTTGTAAAATTAAAATTCTGAGAAAACGCCTTCAAATTACTATTTCAAAAATGCTTGCAGTTCCTCCACCAGAGTTTCGAGTACCTTTCAATAGAGTTTTTTTGTTAATTGAACCAACTTTCGGTATTAGTCGAGTGCTATTTAGGGTTTTGATCATGAGCTGCAAGAAACATTAGGCCTAGTAGACATTGTTGAATGTGAACGTTTAGTTTTCAATTTTCATAGTTTGCTACTTCAACCGTTCTACTGTTTTTGGGCAATTCCATAAAATGGTCAACCTCTATACTTTTTTGTCAACTTTATCAAACCCATTACTGTTATACATTTTTGGAAAGCTCGTTAGTGTAGCTTTCCACTCATAACATTGGTTACAAAAAAAAAAAAAATAAATAAAAAATATATACATGTTTTTTTATAGACTACCGTTTTTTTTTTTCACTCCGATTTACAACCATGTTGGTTATTTTCATAACCAACAAACAAAATTTACTCAAATAAGCCTTATGAATTATTTTTTTGATAGTTTAAGAGTAAAGCTAAATATTAATGCAATTTAGAATTAAGAAAAAGGTTTTCTGTCCACCCTACAGATGTTTAACATTAAGAAAGATTAAATTCTACGTCCGACACCAAAAATGTACGTTTAGTTTTACTGTGGCTAGAGGGATTTTTTTTAAAGCTTGAAAACTAGTATGCAAAGCAAGTTTACATAGGTCTAAATGATCCATGTTTGGAAAAAAATCTATCATGTATGGTTTTTTTTTAATCATGGTGTCGGACGTAGAAAATATTTCCTACGTCCGACTCTACGTCCGACACCAAAGTACTAAAATTGGGTACCTAGTGTATGTTAAATACCGTAACATGCTGCATATACTATAAAACCCTAAGTTGAGTTTTTATCATAGTACTCAATTAACCTGCACTAAGGAACCTTTCAGTTTAGTTAGATGTAAAATTTATCCCACACCCCCATTGTTAACCATAAATAAAAACATATCACCCAAATTTATAAGTTTTTGTAAGCTTCAAAAGTAAAAAAAATATATAACATTTGCTACAACTGTTGGTTATTAAATCTCCTAAACTGTGTTTTAAAGTATTTAAACAAAACCCATATAGGCTAACATGATGGGAAACCAATAAACGTTTAAGTGTACACATTACCTATGAAAATATAATAGCATGCCAGAAAGTTCGCAATTTGGCAACATTGTTTCTCTGCACACTACATTTACAGCAAGAAAAAAACATCTTTAAATTGGAGGGAAAGTGTTTGGAACTATTGCAAAGCCAATGCAGGTCATGTTCTGAGCACAGCAGAAGATTTTGCCGAGATTGCTGCTTTAAGGAACCCCAATGTTTTAGTTAAGTTCATTTCAAGTAAGGATATTCAAGAAGCAGTGATTGAGGGTCTGCAAATATGGGAGTGTTCCGTACCAGTACCTAACACTCACAAAGTGCATTATGTGACGGCAGCTGGATCAAAAGATTTCTTAATTGTAGGCGACACAAGCGACGATTTAGTAAAAAGAAAAGTAAAAATTGTTCGAAATCCGGAGTCTTCGGACAGTGATGACTCAGAACAGGAGTATGGCGAGCGTTTCGAAATAGAGAGAAATGACCTAAACCTTCAGGATTTAGTGCCTCAAAAAGACTGGGTTGTGGTTAAATACGATAATGATTACTATCCAGGTGAAGTACAGTGTGTTGAACAAAATGAAGCCAAAGTGAAAGTAATGCATTGCTCCAAGTCAGGTGCATACTATTTCTGGCCAACTGATGAAGACTGTATTATGTACAAAGCCAAAGACATTGTGAAGAAAATTGAGCCTCCTGAACCTTACGGAGGAACAAGAGACCACTATAAATTTAAAAGTATCATCGGTCCACTTCCAGATGTGCTCCCTTGAACACATTTTCTCATGTCTTACTTTTAGGCATATAACCCAAAGTGCCCATGAATTTTTCATTTCATTCTTTTTTTTTAAAGAGACTAATTTGTAGAGAATGGGTAATTTGTAGGAATTAAGAAGCTGTAACTTTTTTAAGTTAAATAAGCAAAATATCTAATAAAAGATGTAAAGTGTTTATCAGTCTTTTACTTTTTCCCTGAAGGTAAAATGTCAAACCATATTGTGCAACGTAAATGTTCGAAATTTAAATATTTTAAACCCAGGTATAGAGGATTTTAGTAATTTTATTTGCTCAGGCTCATTTAAATGCATGAATAAATGTTTAAAAGGGTTCATATAAAATTGTGAACGTTTTTTTACATTTAATTACTACCTATTATTTGTAAATCTAAAAAAAATCACACAACCTACGTCCGACACCAAAAATTCTACGTCCGACACCGTAGGAGATTTTTTTTTGTGTCAAAACTATTGAACCAAAAAACTTGAACCTAGGCTCTTTTTAAAGCTAATAAGTTTCTTTACATCCATGATTTTTTCTGTTGTTTTATCTCTTTAAAATTCACAGATTTTTAAAGTCAAATAAGGAAAAAAGAAATATCGATTTTGTGCACTCTACGTCCGACACCGCAGAAAAAAATTTTTTAGCCATTAAAGATTTTAAAATTTAAAAAATGTTACATATGAAAATGTTCTTAAAGAACTGTTCTTTCAAATAAAAATACTAAAGATTGAGGTTTTTTACAAAAAGTAATTTTAAAGCATTAAAATAGCAGAAAAATGTGTCTGAAATCTACGTCCGACACCGTGGAATTGCCCTTTTATAACTTCCTTTCCCGCCGCCTTTACCATTGCGTTCAAATTTGCTGGAAATGGATTGAAATCCATGAACCAGCTCAGATTTGACGTCATGTGCCGCGTAGCGCCATTGTCGATCCATCACCGGTTGTTCGTGGTCACAATATTCATGTCACTGCTAATGGAAATCAGCGCACTTCGGTTGTCAGTCACGTTAACTTTTGAGCTCTTCGCTTTCTTTTGACTGGTGTCACTCGATTTTGAGGTAGGCCTTATGCTAATTTTGATGTTTGTTAATAGTTCCATGGGACTGATAATTTACTTTAGGAAGCTGAATAGGCCTACTTACTCCACTACTACTACATACATACATGATACATGATCTCTCCGTCCGTAGTCCTTTGCCTTAAGGAATTAGACAGGTCAGGGTTAATACAAAGAATAACCAGCTTAATACTAATTTTTGTCACCGTCTAGGTAACTGTCTATGTCCTCTAAACTTAACTCTACTAGATATTTTTTTAATTCTGATTTGAATTTTGTTAAGCTCTGAATTTCAAGTAATTTTTTCGGTAGGGCCTGGTACAATTTCATTCCCATGTAATCTGGTTTGTGTTCAAATTTTGTGAGTTTATGTTGGACTGCATGTGTGCCCTTTGTTCGTGTGTTGTAAGTGTGATTTGTAAAAGTTGGTTTAATGTTCTGTGATTTTATATAGCAAACTGATTCATAGATATAAAGTGAAGGGACTGTGAGAAAGCCAAGTTCTTTATAAACATTTTTGCAGCTGGTCCGAGGCGGCATGCCCAAGATTGCTCTTACTGCCATATTCTGCCAAACAAAGATCTGGTCAATATTCTTCTTAACAGCTCCCCATAGAATGATTGAATACAAAATGTGCTGTTCTATTAGGCCAAAATACACAAGTTTAGAGAGAGCCAGGTTTCCGAAGGTTCTTATTCTTCGAAGTACAAAGACCCCTCGAGCCATAGACCCCTCCAGTTTTTTTATTTGTGCATCCCAGCTCAATTTATCGTCCAATCTCACCCCCAAAAAGTCGGCAGTTTTTGAAATTTGAATTTGATCCTCTCCAATTAATAGGTTCGGAGTCCTATTATTTTTTAAATTTTGTCTTTTTGCAGTTTGGATACATCCTGTTTTTTGTGAATTTAATTTGAGTTTGTTTGAGGAAAAAAAGTCAGCCAAATCATTTGCTCTTTGATTAGATTCTGCCTCCAGGGCCGCGTCGTCAGTTCCCCTTACGAACAACGTTGTATCATCCGCAAAGAGGTAGACGCTGTCCTGCGGAACAGTATCTGTGATGTTGTTGATGTAGACCAAGAAAAGGAGAGGTCCAAGGACAGATCCCTGGGGGACGCCATTGGAGATCAATTTTTTTGTTGATGAAATTCTTTCAGTTTTTGAATTTGAGTTTTTTTGAATCTCAGTGACTTGGAATCGGTTGCTCATATAGGATGTGAGCCACTTCAGCGCAAGTCCTGAGATTCCAATTGATGCCAATTTTTCCAATAGAATCGCAGGTTCGACACAATCGAAGGCTTTGGAGAGATCAGCAAAACAACCAACTACCGTCTCTCCAGCCTCCATTGCGTCTATACTGCTGTTGATGAAATCAATGAGTGCCAATTTTGTTGATTTGTTGCGTTTAAAACCATATTGTCTGTCACACAAAATGTTATTTTTTTCCAAGAAGTTGCTAAGTTGCTCCGAAACAACTTTCTCAATCAATTTTGAAACGACTGGTAGGAGAGAGATTGGGCGATAATTCCCCGGATCAGTTCTGTCTGACTTTTTAAAAATTGGTTTTATTTTTGCAATTTTGCAATTCTGAGGGAAAATTCCAGATGTCAGTGAAAAATTGACAATGTGGGTAAGAGGAACTGCCACTTCCTCCCTACAATATTTTAGGACATGCATACTGATTCCATCTACACCACTAGAGTGTTTAGATGGTAGCTTTGAGAACAAATCCAGAAGGTAAGCAGATGTAATCAAATGAAATTGTCCAAGTTCAGCAGTGCCATTCCTCCTAAAACCAGATAAGGCATGGGTTTCCTGATCCTTGTTAACAAGCTTCGAAACATTAACAAAATAGTCATTTAGGGTTTCACACACTTCTATAGGATTTTCTATTTTGTTACCGTCAATATTCAGTATAATATTATTACAGTCTGAATTTTCTTTTGGCCTAATGCTGTTAATAATCTTCCAAGAGTCTTTAGATTTATTTTTTGAGCTGGATATGCAATCGTGTGCCCATTTTATTTTACTTTCCTGTATTTTGTTTTTATATTTATCTTTAAGCTTTAGGTATAATTCTTTGTCAGATATCATTCCTGTCAGCCTCCATACAGAGTATTGTTGGAACATTTTTTCCTTTGCAGCTATTATCTCATTGTTCATCCATTTGTTTTTTCCTTTGTGACTAAGATTAAGTTTTGTTTTTTTATTCGGGCAGCTGATATCAAAATAATATTTGAATGTTTCTATAAAGCTATCATATTTGGTATTAATATCAGGAGCATCATATACTGAGTTCCAGTCCTCTGACTGTAGCCTTATTTTAAGTTCATGAAGATTTTCATCAGTAATTATTCTTTTTTCTAAGGTTTTATTTTGGTTTGAGATACTATTTTGGTTTGAGATAATTTCAGGTAGGCTTATTTCTATTGAGATATACTACTCCCATGGCCATTTGTACCCCAAGTGGTATTTGGCCTCACCAACACAATGTCTCCACGTCGCCCTGTCTCTTGCGGTATCTTCATTAACTTCCATCCTGGCCATATCTTTCTTTACTTCATCCGTCCAGCGTTTCCTCGGTCTCCCTCGTGGTCTCCTCCCCAGTGGGTCACTTTTCCATATTTGATAAAGTGTGCTAGTTTCCTCTCCTCTAATGATGTGGCCCGTCCAGCGAAGCCTCCTGCTTTTAGCCTCTGTAATTATATCTGGCTCCTTGAACAGGTCTCTTAGTTCCTGATTATGTTTAATTCTCCACACATCTCCTTCTTTAGTAGGGCCAAAGATTTTGCGCAGGACTTTATTTTCAAAAGTAATTAGTTTTTTCTCTGTGTTTTTATCCATAATCCAGGTTTCAGCTCCATAAAGAAGGACAGGTCTTATGATAGTTTTGTAGATTTTAAGTTTAGTGCAATGAGTGGTAAGGCCTACTTACCAAACTTTAAATTTCTAATTAAATATTTTATGTACAAAAATTTTTCATTAATCTGTTTCAGTGAAAGTTGGAAAGATGAGGATCAGTCAGTGCCACTCTGGACCTAGAGAACCTTGCAATGTTGTTCCTGATGATGAAAACAATGCTGCTCTGAAAGTTTCTACCAGGTATATAGCCCATAAGTTATCTCCTTAATTTATCAATAATAATGATTCCCTGCAGTATTAAATTATTTACACCAATTGAGGTGGGGCCACAACTTGCCAACTTGGCAAATTTTATTAGCGAATTTCCCATATAGGGAATAAGCTATTACCGTAGTACTCATGGTGAGACCTGGACGCGGGACCGATTTTTTTTTTCGTTTTGTGTTCCCTAGAGGCCAAAATCACCATCCGTTCAACTCCTCGCTCCGGACACATATATATATATATATATGTGTCCGTTAGCACGATAACTCGAGCAAAAATGATCCAATTTTGATGAAATTTGGTACAAACGTGTAAACCTACGTTTATTCGAACGAGTTCGCGATCCAGCATGATCGGACCATGGGAACGGGGGTTTACGGGTGGTTTTATGGGGTAAAAATAGGGTTTTCCCATTTTTGACCCAAAAAACATAAAATTTAGCAATTTCTTTCCAAACCATTTTGCAGAGCTTAAAAAAACAAATAATTTAGTATATTGAAGCGCTATTATGCGCCTAATGGTTACAGAGAAAATTCCAAAAAATTGTTAATTTAAAATTCCCATGTTATTCTTATGGAGAATAAGTAAACTGTTGTAGTTTGCTTGTTTATGAACATATTTTGATCAAATTTGGAAAATGTTTTTATTTCTTACTAACTATTAACATTTTACAAAAAAAAAACCAGTTTTACCCTCCCTGATGCAGCAAACCTAAGTACTTGTTAAAACTAATTCTATTTAAATCGGGAATAAGTGTTATATTTTTAAGTAGACATTTCAGTGTAAATCCAATCAGTCAAATGGAAATTCGCTTAGTCTGCAGGTTTGCTGCGGCGGGGGTATTTTAATATAATCTTGCACAATGATTGAAATGGATGGATATATAATAACTCCAAGATGCAAGTTAGGACAAAAACATGTTTTACTTTTTGGATAGTTTACCAGGATTATTCAGTTAAATTGGCTTTTTTGTTTTTACAATTTGTTGTGAAAACACTATTTTTTTAAGCTTGCAGTTTCGTTAACACATAGCCTAGGCCTAACTAAAACACAAACATTGAAAATGGAAAGTACAAAATTACATATTTAGATAGTGCTATCATGCTTACTGCTTACTACTAGGAAGGTATGGGGGTTTAGTGAGTGGGAAAAAATTTCGCGCCGTTCCGGCCAAACCTCGCATGCGGGGTTGGTTCGGCAGATTGGCCACAACCTAAACCCTAACTCTCACTTGTTAGCTGCGGAGAGCTACCTTCTGCCACTGGGTGTTGGTCCACCTACAGAACCAAGTGAGGGGGGCCCTAGACTAAGGTGTAAGGCACGTCTCACACTGAGTCCGCTCAGTTCAGTCCGCTCAGCTTAGCTCAGGTCAGTCAGCTCAGTTCCGGCAGTTTTCCTACACACTGCGTCAGTTCGGTCCGCTCAGTTCAGTCGTTTTTGAGCTCCAATCGCCAGGTGACAACATACACTGACATTGTTCACAAGTAAATTACTTGTGTAGAGATTTCCTAGTTATGAGTTCCACCAGTAGTGACGAAGGAATTGCTGTAATCACATTGGCACTAGCTGCCTAGAAGAGGATGATCACCTCCTTCATTGTAATGTAGTAATCCTTGTTTGACAGATCGTACAACTATGGATACGTCTCTACTACAGAGATCAGTCGTTCGTCGAAACTAACATTTAATAAATATCACACAGTAGGCCTGCTACGAAAATGTGCCAAACCCCCCAAATTCAGTTGCACAACACTGACTGCTGTTTACTCTTGACTTGCGCATGCGCGGAACCTCCGTTGCTTCCGTCGCTTCCGCCCAAATCGCTCGCTAACCGGAAACTGGCTGAGACGGACGGAGCGGACCCAGTGTGCGGCTCTACATTAGAATACACGATTTTCGAAATTTGCGGAACGGACTGAGCTGAGCGGACTGAACTGAGCGGACTCAGTGTGCGACGTGCCTAATGCGATCCGTGCCAAGAGTCTTGTGGCACTGGGGGCCTAATATTCAGTGTCTTAACGTCGGAGCCTTCTGGGAATGAGGGGTAACCCAGTCGTACGCACCCCTTACCTCTCTAATCGGGTCACTGGGGAGGTGGACTTAGATACCCGGTATTCGTGAGAACAATGTAGACAATCTGACCCAAATGGAGGAGGAAGGTCTACTGAAATCTGACGATGACGACAAGCTCACAGAAACCGGAAAGGAACGAAAAACGACTTTCCAGGGGCGAGTTGCAAAGATGGAGGATAGCGGATGCTTTAGCCAAAGGCGAAAAGGTGCTTGCTATCCAGAAGTGAGAGGAGGCTGGTGTGGGCTGCCAAGCACCCTAACTCTGCTCCCTGCAAAGCCAGTTCCTCCGGGAACTAGGATGCTGGGAAAAAGCAGGGCATGGGTGGTACCCCCAAAGCTGACTCTAATGAAGCCTCCAGGAAGAAACGTGGAGGCTGTGAGCCACAAAGGATTGGCTGGTCAAGCAAGAGCTGAGTCCTTTCAGGGAAATCTCGCTACGGCTTGCCCCAGCCAGAGACCTTTTGAAAGCTGTGAAGGTATATTTATGTGCCCAGCCCTACAAGGTCTGCGTATGAGATCCCTCGTACGAAAAACGACTTTCCAGGGGTGAGTTGCAAAGAGGGAGGATAGCGGATGCTTTAGCCAAAGGCGAAAAGGTGCTATCCAGAAGTGAGAGGAGGCTGGTGTGGGCTGCCAAGCACCCTAATTCTTTACTGCCTGCAAAGCCAGTTCCTCTGGGAACTAGGATGCTGAGAAAAAGCAGGGCAAGGGTGGTACCCCCAAAGCTGACTCTAATGAAGCCTCCAGGAAGAAAGGAGGAGGCTGTGCTGACGCAGCCACAAAGGATTGGCTGGTCAAGCAAGTTCAGGAGCTGAGTCCTTTCAGGGAAATCTCGCTACGGCTTGCCCCAGCCAGAGACCTTGTGAAAGCTGTGAAGGTATATTTATGTGCCCAGCCCTACAAGGTCTGCGTACGAGATCCCTTGGCCTATTGATGGGAGATCAAAGGGAAGAACAGGTTACCATAGTCAAAAGGCTCTCACGGTTCACCCAAGGACCTGGGATTTGACGGAGAATGAGGACCTGTGAACGAGGGTGCACAATAAGCTGTTCTAGCTGCGATGTAATCCCATGTTGACATGTAAGCCTGGCCCTCTGTAAAAAAAAAAAAAAAAAAAAATGCTTACACTACTATGTCCAGAGCCTTGCACGGTTGGTAAGCTTAGCAGACTCCTTGTTACTGCTACTAACTCTGCAACGTGGCAGAATTAGTGTTAATGTTAGCACCATCTAAATTTGTATTTGTATGTTATGTTTTTAAATGTTTGTGCTGTTACTTACCTGATTTATTTCAAGTTTTCAAAGTTGCAAGCTTTGGAAATGTTGCTTATTAAAAAGAAAAACACGTGAGCAGATTTAATCAAGGGCCAATTTGAAAAGTAAAAGTATTGTATGGTCATAATAATAACTTAGCTGGGTAGCGGAGTGGATAGTATGGTTGCCTAAAATATAGAATATTGCCGGTTCAATTCTTAGAAACTGTACTCAGCTCTCCTATCTCGATCATTGGGTTTTGTAATAAATGTGATACTGATTACAGATCATAGTCAATACAAAGCTTTTCTGGTCTTATCACTTCATTCAATCCAGTTTAACAAAATTTTATCACTGAAGTGATAGTCTGTTAAATCTTTTGCAGTCCACCGAAGACAATGACGGTGTCAGGAGCCCCAGTAAGAGGTCATGCGGACTTTCCCGTGGAAGCTGTTCAGTCGTTCCATGAGAAGCCATTGCCTACTCACGACCCGCGTCCTGCGCACTGCAACAAGCCGCAGAACATCCAACAGCCAAGGAGGCAATAGACGCCTCAGAGGTCAGCGCTCAGTTTAAACGGCCAGAGAAAACACTCAGATTACTTTTCAATGTTTATAGCTTAATATGAAAATTTTAACAGCCTTACAGTGATAGGTTTTTTATCCAACACATTTAAAGAAAATTTCACCAAAATCTTTTTCTTGCATAAGAATGCTTTAACTATTTTTGGATTTCTTAACAAATATTTCGAATTTGTCATATCACGACTATGTATGTAAATATGTACATAGCTAAGTACTTAGAGCTAACTAACACACATTGAAATAAAATGTGCTTGAGGGAAAACACAGAGTAAATATAAAGACTGATGTTATTGGGTTGTAGAGTTTATACATGTTGTTAGTTCGGATCTGTTGGAAAATAATTTCTAATATCCCCCAGACTTTCAGTAATAATTTGACCTACATAAAAACATAATTACAAGTTCTAAATTATCCATTCTTTTTTTAATAAATGTATCCATCTGTACTAATGTTAAAATATCAATATCATATACCGTAGAAGAATTTTACTTAAAAATTTATTTAATATCTAATTCGGTGTTGGAATATTTTTTGTGGTAACAAAAATCCATCTTACGAGGTCAAAATACTTGATAATTTCAGGTTTGTGCACTATTAATTTTACTATACCAAAATCACCATATATTGTTCTAAATTACTGCTTAGTACTTTAATGTACGGTACTAATTTCAGTGTATTTTTGTCACCTACTTGACGTAAATGGACAAGGATTTAATATATAATATTATGGTTGTTTAAGTGTTTTCAATTTAAAAAAGAATCCACTTTTTATCTGTTTAGGCTATCTACAGAAGACTGAGTTTTTGCATTTTAATAAATTCATTTTTTATCATTCCTGCAGATATAGACTTACTGTACATTCCATTTTTAATGGATTCAACAAAATAACTTCCACAAAAACCACTTTTTAATAGGTATGACTAGTAGTACTAATGGCCAACTTATTCCTTTTACATATTGAAATTATTGTTTAATATTTCTTTTAGTTTATAAGAGATGACCTTTGTTTTTTTTAAGAATAGTTTTTTGTCCTTTTAACTAGGCTTCTTTACAGAAAATTTGTTTTCTTTTTTATTAGATTGCTAAGGTAAAATGGTTCAATGTTATTTTTGGTTTTACATCTATAATAATATAGATTTGGGGGTTGACATATATTTATATATTTGTTAATAAACAATGATATGAGATTAACAACTCTAACTTTTTTATCCTTAAATTCCTAATCCAGAAATATATGGAAAGGTTTAAGCTAGGAAAATGTGTTACAGCGAAAATGCTACAAGCGCTCACAGAGAATTGTAGTACAGTAGAACCTCTTTAATCCGAACCCCTGTAATCCGAACGTCCACTAATCCGAACGCCTCATTGCTGTACTCTATATACAGAACAGTAGTTCTTTATTGTATACTGTATTTATTGATATACACACCGTAATTATTTCTATTGTAATGTACAGTACTGTTTATTCCCTGTGTTTACTACTGTATTAAATAAGCACTGTATTTTACTTTATAAAGCATTTTTCACTTTTCCCTAGCTATTGTTATATAAAAACAACAATATGTTCTGTAATCCGAACTATTCACTAGTCCGAACTACCCCGGTCCCAATTAGTTTGGATTAAAGAGGTTTTACTGTATTAGGCTAGGACCCCTGTGCTGTGGAGGGTATAGTAAATACAATTTTCCTACAGTTATCTGTTACCTGACAAAGCGGGCTTTCTTTTCTTGCATTGATTATAGCACGCAAAGTAGCTAATATGTGTATTTACTTATTTTGCGGCACTCCAGTATTTCAACCAAATAACACAAAATAGTATGCTTGTATTAGGCACGGAATATGGATACCGTATGCTTCAAATCAAGTTGGCAATACTGCTAAATCGATCAGCTGATGCATTGTTTATTTGTTATTCCATTTGACAATTTTTATACAACGACTTAACCTATAAACCTGTAAACTTAAATATCACATACAGTAGTTACTCCTACAGCTTAACCATGATAAGGTTGTTGACAAGCTAATGGGAGATAGTATGTGTCTAGTTGTTGATATTGTTTATAATTATGAGTGATATTTTAAATAATTGGAGAGTGAGGCCCTGGGGCCCTTTAAAGTGTTGTATTTCTCTATAAGATTGACGTGGGAAACAAAAATTGTTATGAAACTCCAGCTGTTGTCAGAAATTAAAAGTCAGAAGAAGAGCAAATTTTAATTGTAAACAGTCAATAAGTTTGCTAATTTAACACTTTGCTACAAACATTTACTGACTAAGTTGAAATGAAATATTTACTATTTGAATTGGGGTTGGCATAAATATTACAATGGAAAAAAGGGAGAGAGTGTGGATAATTTGATACTGTATACTAAAAAGAAAACTGAATTTATTAAGAACACTGTGCTGCATTTCTTAGTAATCATTGAAATAGCCGATTTGTAAACTATGGAAACATAAGAAAGTCATAGAACACATCCAAGGAAGAAGGAAGAAGAAATAAAAATAATGTTTTTTTTTTAATTTATAATCACTATTATAGACAATCGAATACGGCTATGACTAAGGCTATTTGTAGAAAACACAAAAAAACAAAATCATCTTTTGAAAAATGATAAGATATTTTCAAGAAATTTTGATTATATTGATCTGTTATATACATCTTGAGTATTTCCATAATCTTTAAGTCGAATCTTTTAAAGTCATCAGAAATTATGACTGTTATTCGTTTTAAAACGCCTGTAATATTTAGCAATTGCTCGAATTTGAGCAAAAGGGACACTTGTAATTTGTGTATATAGTTTAAAGTTGTGTGTCTCTTGTGCCAGTTTTGACTCTTTCCTATTCAGGTAAGCCTGCTATCCTCACAAAATATCCTACAAATCTAGACCCTATGTTACATCCTTATATGCTATATTGCTGTGAAGTTGGATCTCCACAGTAAATTGTGTTTTATATAGAATATTATCATTTACAAACTATCCTCCTTCTCAGTCCTTTTGAAAGTTTTATTTTAAATATATCTGATCAAATTAAAAAAATCCTAGAATAGATCTAGAGAATGTTTCTATAGAATAAATAGTTTTAAGCTGTGACAATTGAAAATAAAGCAGCTTCCTTTTACAAAAGTTGGCAACAGGAATTGAAATAAGATACGTTTTAAATAATTACTTATTTATTGACACAAAATGTGAAAAAGTATAAAACAAGTATAAATATAATCTGTAATGAAGTCGACAACTTCCTTAATTCTAAAATAAATTACACTTAAACTACAATCATTTAATTAACTTAACATTCAAACAAGCACATTTTTGAAATGATAAATACATGAATAGTTTTTATATGATTCTCTTTGGCAGTCTTCATTAAGTTTTTACATTTTTGACCAATAGGTGACCAGACCTTTAGTTGTTCATTTGAATCTGGTGCAGTAGATTCCGAAATACACTTTAAATGCAACAAGTTATAATATCTTCTTTAATTATACAAACTACACATAATAATGATTTACAATACAAAATACAGTTGACCTCCTCTATACATTTATTTAAGGCACTAAAGCAGTTAAAAAACTCCACCTCTTCTTTTTCTCCTCTCTGAAACAAAATAACAAGTAAACAACTTTTTGTTATCCATACTCGAATACCACAGGCCAACTAGCATGTAACTCGGTAAACTGATTTAATAAACTCAGTGATCCAATTAATCATCTAAATCTTAGGATGTTCGTTGGTAGGTTAAGCGATTAATGGGTAAGTGCAAGAATTATCACAGACCAAGTCATAATAATATGCCACCAGTTTGAATTATTTTATCATAAGTTATGTAGCAGGGCACACATGTAGCAACAACTAGTTGTGTGTTATTATATTCTCCATTAAGCAAATTTTAAAATAAAGGGTCATGAAATTTAATACTATTATTAAATAAAGTGCTTTATTAAATTTGTTATTGATTGGTTTCAACTATAAAACCTACCATATCACTCAGTCGTCGTACTGAGCTTGGGCGTTTTCCTCATTGTCTTCGAGGTTCTCGTCAAACTCATCCTCCGCACTCGCTTCCTGTAAGTCAAATTCATTGATAAATGATAAAAGTCAAAAATATTAAATATGTTAACACCAAAAAGTTTATTTGAAACTCATTATCATTAACATTTTTGCAATGTTTACTTGAAGATTTCTTTCATTGAACTGAAAGTTAATGTCATTAAAGTAAAGGACATTTCTTTAATTAAGTTTTTATTACTCACAAGACAACTGTTGATTCATTTTGCTTAATCCCTTTGTCAAGATAGTGACATATTTTATTTACATACCACAAGCTGATATGAATTCAGGTGGAGTATATTATATTATGTTTAGCTTTGTTACTGACTAAGATCAACTGTTACCCATCGACAACTGGGTACGGTTTTATAAAAGTTGCTCACTTTACTCAGAACTGAACTGGCAATTTCCTAATTGTCAAGTGAGCTTTATCATAGACAAAAATAATTAAATATAGACTGTCAGCCGTGCTGCGGTTACCATAGGTTCCGGTGCACAACGCTGGTAGCGCCATTTAGTTCCGGCGTACGCGCTAAGTAACTACACGGCCCTCCCAGCGGTGTGCGCTAGAACCTGTGGTAATCGCAGCATGGCTGACAGTCTATATTTAATTCTTTGTGTCTATGGCTTTATACTCAATTTTGTTATTTAAAAAATATTAAATTTGTAGAGGAGCAGTAAGCTAATCAATTTTCTTTTGTAAAATGTGTAGGTTGTAATGTTTAGGTCAGGTATGGGTACAAGTGGAAGAGTCTCCGAAATCTATTTCAACAACAGATGATCTTTACCTGATACTGTTGGTATTCAGAGATGAGATCGTTCATGTTAGATTCAGCCTCAGTGAACTCCATTTCGTCCATTCCCTCGCCTGTGTACCAATGTAAGAAAGCTTTCCTACGGAACATAGCGGCGAACTGCTCGGATATCCTCTTGAATAGCTCCTGGATGGCTGTCGTGTTTCCGATGAATGTTGAGGACATCTTCAGCCCCATCGGTGGAATGTCACACACTGCTGTCTTGACGTTGTTCGGAATCCATTCTACAAAGTAGGACGAGTTCTTGTTCTGGATATTGAGCATCTGTTCATCGACTTCCTTCATTGACATTCGCCCTCTGGTAGGAAGAAAAGAGTAGTTAGAAATGTTTAAACAGTAATTGTTTATGAACAACACCAAACACATAGTTGAACATATTAAACTTACCAGAGCTTTTGAGAACTTTTGGGTCTAATTGGAGAACACACCTATGTTTGAGAATTATTAGGATTGCACATAACAAAATAAAACAACATGTTTTGGAGGTAACCATGATTTTTTGTGCAGTGCTGCTAACCGAATGAGCCTTCAAGTGTTCTTATATTGGGCAGTACCATTGGAGAAAACAGATGTAAGTTTAATCACAGCTCCTGTACAAAAGAAGTTTAAGATCTGGCCATCAAAAAATTAAGATACCTAAAAGAAGCCCTTCTGATTGTAAAAGGTTAAACCGATCACTATAATAAATGTTTTCAAGAAAAAAAATGTCAGCAAAAAGATAACAAACCTGAAGATAGCAGCAACCGTTAGATAGCGGCCATGACGAGGATCACAAGCTACCATCATGTTCTTGGCATCAAACATCTGTTGAGTCAACTCAGGGACACTGAGAGCTCTGTATTGCTGGCTGCCACGTGCTGTCAAAGGAGCGAACCCTGGCATAAAGAAGTGAAGACGGGGGAAAGGCACCATGTTGACTGCCAGCTTGCGGAGATCTGCATTCAACTGGCCCGGGAACCTTTTGGACAAAAAATATCAATAATTACATTCATCCAGGACTGATTTACCGAATAGGGATGGTAGGCATGTGCCTAGGGCGCGAGGCAATTGGCGTTTATTTGGGGGTGCCAAAATTTTGGAAAATAAAAAAGATTGGCGGTTGTATTTGCATGTAATCGCGGTTAACTTTGATAATCCCTCGCGGCCGTGTAGACATCGTAATCATCTCCCGTGATTGCGGCAAAACTGTAATCCTCTCCCGCTGACATATGAAGATCATCGTCTTCCACGAATGAGGAAAAAGTATGATCTTTTCCCGCGGTCATGTGGACATTCGTCTTGCGCGATCGTGGCATAATTCTGATCATCCCTAGCGGCGTTTAAAAATCATTATTTTTTCTCCAGAAGTCCTGTAGACATCGTATTCGTCTCCCACAGTCGTGAAGACAACGTAATCTTCTCCCGCGATTGCGGCAAAATGTTAATCATGTCCCGCAGTCGTTTGGAGATCATCATCGTCTTTCACGATTGCGGTAAAATTCTTCTTCTTCTCATGTTTCCCGTGGTCGTATGGACATTATCATCTTCTTCCGTGATCGTGGCAATATTCTGATCATCCCTCGCGGCCGTTTGTAGACATATTATCGTTTCCCATGGTCACGGAAATGTCACTGTTGTCATGTGCGATCACCGTAGATTGAAAACTCCAGGGTGAAATACAAAATTCACACATAATTCCTGGTTAAAAAACGCACACATGATTCCCGGATTTCCCGGTCGGTGGATACCCTACATATATATTGCAAAGGGGCGCTGACAGGGTCAAAAACGGGCCTGCAGTCATCATTTAAGGATAATTAATAGTTGTGTGTATAAGGAGAAACTTTAAAACGGGGACAATAAAATATGGACACAACAATTCACTGGAGTAAACGTGGTACTTACTGGCAACAACAGCAAAACCCAATGGTTTATGTTATAACTTTTTGTACATGCTACCAGCTGAGAATATATTGATTGCGAGCATTAACCCTATTTTATAATTTTCTCATCCATCAAGAGAGCCGACACGGAAAATACATTAAAAAACACAGATCCTGTGAGATAGATGCCAATTCTTGCAAGTGAAATAATAACTTTACTCCACAAACAATACATAACATAATCTTAATACAGTATCACTAATCTTGCAAGTATGGTGGGACAGTATCCAGTATGGGGTAAAACCAAATGTATTAAACAAATGAATTAAACTTGTTTTCAATCTAAGTACATTCTCCACATCTTTGACATATCATGGCTATGAACCAAAGTTCTGCTGGGATTGATAATCATAAGTTGCTCATTCTTAACAACTTGGTAAAAGCCCATCAATAACATTTATCTACACTCACCTGAGGCAGGTGGTGACTCCGGACATGGTCAATGACACCAGATGGTTGAGGTCGCCGTAGGTGGGGTTGGTCAACTTGAGAGTTCTGAAGCAAATGTCATAGAGAGCCTCGTTGTCTATACAATAGCTCTCGTCTGTGTTCTCTACCAGCTGGTGTACTGAGAGGGTGGCGTTGTAAGGCTCAACTACAGTGTCTGAAACCTGACAACAAACTGTTAGAGTGGTATTCATTGGGAGATCTAAGAACCGCAAAGAAGTGACAAGTATACAAGAGTAGCCCCAAATTGAAGTATGCACAATTTGATTGTCTTTTATCAAGATAGCATCGGTAGCAGTGGTCCTCCATTGTAATCAAATTTACTTTTTACTCTCTAAACTAGTCTTAGCCACCTTTTCTTCATCCTAGGGGTAAATTAGCGTTCATAGTTAAAGGTAATAGTTGTTACTACCTATTCTTTTTGGTTTGTATATTTTATTTAATAAAAATAAGGCCATAAAAGACCTTAACCATACAAAGTTGTAACCACAACTGATCAAACAAACAAAATTATTTTTGTATATGGAAAAAGAGTTTGGCAGCCTCTTTTAGCTTTGCATTTACATTTTAACCTTGCATAGGCATCGGGCTTATGTGTTGAACTTATCTAGAAAAACAAGCTTTTCCAACAGTATAAAGGTGAACTCTACCATAGACAAATAGAATAAATATTGACCGTCAGCTGTGCTGCGGTTAGCATAAGTTCTGGCGTCCACCGCTAGGCAGACGAGGAGCGCAGGAGCCGTATGCGTCCAGCAGGCGCTGCACCGGTGAGCGCCATAACTACAAGGCACTCCTAACGGTCGGCGCCGGAACCTTCCTTTGACAGTCAATATTTATTATATTTGTCTATGACTGTATTGATCAAATGTAGTGGCAGGTACCACAATCCAAACCCAAGAAATCACTGCCTTTGGCCTGTAGCTGAAGTCTGTGGTGCTAACTGACTGAGCCACCGACTCACCAAACCTCACTATTCACTCAAATTATTTTTTGTACAGAACACAAAATGGTAAGAATGTTTTTCAGTGGCTAACCTTTTGATATTTCAACTTGGATCATGTTAAAATACTAAAATCTAGTCTTATCAATAAATTGGGATAAAAATACAAATCGTTTGAAATCTGTAATAACTTATGATACTACCCTGATAAAAATTGTTTTCTTTTCTTTATGTAACTTCAAATCCCGGAGTCCCTAAATGTTTCTACCACCTGTATTGTATAATTACTTTAGAAATACCAGTAAGTTAAGTAATTACCTTGGGCGAGGGCATGACAGAGTATGTGTTCATGATCCTGTCAGGATACTCTTCCCGTATTTTGGAGATAAGAAGAGTCCCAAGTCCTGATCCAGTTCCGCCTCCCAGGGAGTGGGTTAGCTGGAAACCCTGAAACAAATAGTTTAATTTTAGCATTATTATTTAGATGAAAGTACCAAAGTAGTAACTTCTGTAGAGCTATAGCAGTATAATAAATTATCAATAACATGGTAGAATTGTCATAACGGGTTTTCATACTGTAACATATTTTCAATATTATTAAAAGTTATTTTGTAATAAAATGAATGGAATATTTTTTTATGAGGATATTAAAACAATTAGTAATAAGTGGCAATATTAAAAAAGAATAGAGTAATTGGAACTTTTTTAAGTTTTATAAAAGTTAATTTTCTTATGAAGTAATAATAGACATTACTTTATTCAAACTAATATAGCTTAGCAAAAAAATAGAGAAAACGGGCGGTAAATGATTAGAGTAAAAACATAAGACCTCAATATGTTTTAATATGTACTGTACATTACATATACACACATATCTAAATATTTACATCACAAGACAGAATTAAATTAAGAATTTAATTTTATACAGTATCAGAAAACTCATTACTTTTTGCAATGTAAAAGAGAATTTTTCGCTTTCCCCACAATCCGAGGAGAAAGTGTACAGATAATTCCTGTACAATTACCAATCAAATTACTCCTTGCAGTTAAGTATGCAGCAAAATAACAAGAAATCGCTGACCATAAAATTCCGATTCTAGCCAGTCATGCATGTACAGATCCAGTAGGTCAACTAATAATACCAGAGAGGTTTTAAAATGATGATTTAACAAGACGCTTCGTGACAGTCATTTTAGACTGTAAATCTCTAATGGTATGCAGTGAAAAGAATTTACTGCCGAGTATTAGAATGACTGGCTGCATGTAGCCTAACTGGACGCTGCGGAGACGGCAGAAATGTTCACTGGGAACATGACATGCAGCTTGTCGGCCTATCAAAGTGACATTACTTTCCCAAGGCTCTCATTTGGGCTGAAATGTCAGCTATAAAAAGTCGGAGGAGGAACGCTCTCGGATAATCATAGGAGGAGAGCTGGGAAAAGTCAATTTGATGGATACCATCAACTGAATTGCAGTTAAGCATCATAGGATATCAGAATATACTAGAAAATGTACAAACTCTATTAGTTTGAAAAGGTTTTTGTTGATACAAATACTACAAATGCCTCGGTATTCATTTAGCTTATTTATGTTTTAATTTGCTAAAACAGATTTTTTCTCCATACCTGCCCAACAAAACACTGGTACAGTATTTGAATGAACAAATTTTGGCAGTCCTTCATTTGATTGATTATTTTATTCTCTTTTAAATTTAAATTCTAAATAAATAAGTTTTAATAAAACAACACAAGTAAAATTAACTTGTGGATGCTGTATTAAGTAAAGAGTTCATATTCGAATACCTTCTAACAAAGAGTTACCGGTACACATATTTTATATTTAGAACATTTTATTTTTAAGGAGATGGGATACTATACTATCAAAGTTAACTTTTTGAGGAGTTATTGGTCACCAGTCATACATTATGTAAAATATTTTAAGTTATGAAATGAACTTAAAGTTCAGTAATAGACTCACAGAGATAGTCAGATATGGCACAAATCAGATATGATATCCATTTATTTGCTAACCTGATTTTCCTTGTATGACTCAATCAGTTGAGTAGATTATAGCTAAATATATTTTGCATCTAATAGTGTTTTTAACAAAAGTTTACAACCAACCAAAGAAAAGCAACTTTTATCAAATATCTGATGTTTTTGACAGTTTTCAGTGTATTTAGACAAAATGTTGATTTCCAAAAGAAGTTTTAAATGAAATTTTACAGCTTTTGTTTAAGCTGCAATCGATAAAACATACTCCCTTAAAAAATTAACCCTAAAATAATAGAAACAAAATTTCGTCGACAGTAGCGATCAGTGTCGATGTACATGAACTAGAGACGAAAAACGAGCTTCAAAATTTATAATGAGATGAGAAGTCTAGCTGCAATGTTTTAAACTTACAAAATTTGTTTCATCAGATGTTACATTTTGTGTGAATCTGGTGTAGAAAACTAATATGGACTGAATATTTGTATTGCATTCGTTGTTTAGTGATTTTATTCTGGCTGCTAACCTAGTCTACAGATAACAGATTTCAGTTTTCCTTCCAAATGTCAATAAAGACACTCTTTTATGAGCCTGCCCTAGGCATTAGCCAATGATGCAACTGCACAGGGTCCTGTACCTCAGAGGGGGAAGGTGGGCACACTAAGTCTTATTGGTAAAATATTTTGATTTTTAATAATCCCCAATAATCTCCCTTTGCCCAATTTTGCATTTCCATGTCAAGTACCTAAAAAAACCACAATCACTGAACATGATCAAGATGTTGTTCTACTCATAGGAGTCTGTGATTTTAAAAATTATCTTGATTGTTGCCGCTATAGTGAGAGATGATGACGGATGTTGCCGCTTTCCCAAAAGTTTATCATCCTATGAGCATGTGCAGCAATAAGGCAATTGGGGGGAAATCTTTTCAGAAAAAAGGGCTCTGGATGTTTGCACAGGGCCCTGCACTACCTAAGGCCGACTCTGACTAAGTTATATTGTGTCCATATAGATGCTGATGTATATTCAGACTTTATAACCTCAACTTCCTCGACTACTCAGTACTCACTCACCTGCAGACAATCACAGTTCTCCGCCTCCTTCCGCACCACATCCAGCACAGCGTCCACCAGCTCTGCCCCCTCCGTGTAGTGACCCTTGGCCCAGTTGTTGCCTGCGCCGCTCTGGCCGAACACAAAGTTATCTGGACGGAACAACTCTCCGTATTCACCTGACCTTACGGAGTCCATAGTCCCAGGCTCCAGGTCCAGTAGGATGGCACGAGGAACGTACTTTCCACAGCTTCCGTGTCGGCTCGCTGCAGACAAAATATTTTTGGTAAAAAATATTGAGCACTCCTTAGTAAAACTAAAGAAAAAAAGTGAAGCCTTTGCAATTCTAAAAACTGAAAAAAATGGTTTACAAAAAACTGACTTGATCATAAACTGGGGCTAGAGTCTGAACACAGTTTAGTTTAAGATCAAGGTCAGAGTGTATCACAGTTTATCCTGTGGTAAAGCATATTCAACAATTCAACATGGTACTCTTGTGTGCATTCTGTATGTTAGACTTCAAACAAAGCCACCTGTATCGCCCCTGGTTTGGGAATACAAAACGGTAGGATTAGGTATCAAGAATGCTATACCTGATCTTCATGTGTGATAATCTGACGTTATAAAAAAGTTCTGTTGACTTGTCAAACGATTCAATATTTTATCTCCTTAACTTAGAGCAAAAACCTATAGAATTACAGAAATAAATGTAAGTTGCACAGAATGATGTGCAAGATATTAAAAGGGAATATAATAAGAAAGGGAGTACCTAATAAGGGAACTGTAACTTTGTTATTTTTGATCTTTTGTTAAGCATATAGTGTAAAATAAGATAGCGTAAAAAATGTAGGTACTAAAAAATAAGGTTTTGCAAAAGTAACAAATTGAAATTGATGAACCATCTAGTGTATATGCATTCAAGGACAAAGCATGGGAATATGAACTATTGATTTTGAACCACAAAAACTCCAACAATGATGTGGATTTGCTTTTTCCACCATCCTACAGTAAATGATCAATTTTTTTGTGAGTCATCTCTTTGTCTTTTGCATTTTTTGGCCACATATAGCCTAGGCAATCGATTTCCCACAATACATTGTTTATAGCTCTTAGCTACAAAATGTCTGTGTTAATTTACAATACAAGTCTCCATTGTTAAGAACGCAAATTCGAAAGAAACGCTCAGAACAAAGTATGATGGCTAAATTAAATCAGTCATACGGCATTCTAGTTCCATCAGTGTGTCATCACTTGACTTTGTTATCTTACAAGGAATTCGCAGCCAAACACGGTGTCACTTGAAGCGTCAGAAGCATGACTCGCGACCGGAAGCTTTGTCAATTGCTTCTTTCAAGTAGTTTTGGCCATTTCCGGTGACGTCAGTAGGTCGTGCCGGGCGTGGATGATTTTAGTGTCAGTCTGAAAGGCGAGATGACCTGCAAGTAGTCTTTGTCCTCCACCAATCTCGATACAAGAATGAACGTAAGGATCCTGGGGATACCAAGGATTCTATCCGAGGATACCAAGGATCATATCCGACACGCTCCGAGGCGTTTCACCTGCTTGACGAAGCGTTCTAGAGAAACCAGGTCTCGGTCGTGAGCATTGAATCAGTGTCATTGCTGAACGCAGTATGGGACCTGTTGCCGTGACTGCTCATGAAGAAATGTCGGCAGAGAGATGACTAGGTTGCAGCAAGCAATTTGTAGGTTTGCAAGACCACCACACTTTCTTCAAAGTCAAGGTGTAAACTGTGAAGAAGGTTGCAATTTTACGTATAAATTAAATAGTAGTGCTATTCTCGTTTGTAAATTAACTCGTTTCTACTTATCAAAACATGAGTGTCTGATTATTATCAGTTAACTAGCCTTTGCATGCTTATCATTGAGCGCGTACCTAGCTTTGTTTGACGTTTAGTTAGGTTTTAAAGCAGGCTATAACTATTACTACAGTAGATAGTTATTATTAGTTGGTTTCTATTCCCTTGTCTGAGATAGTATCCATTACGGACACTCATTTAAATGTCACAGTCGTTAGTCTGTTAATTATATTGATTATAATCACAACTACGGCACTGTACACAAATTTACAGAGGAGTCCGAGCTTAAAGAAATCTTAAAAAAAATACAGGGGATACGTTCAAAATATCTTGAATGGTTCAGAATTGTTAACTAATAAAACTGCAAGTAAAAACGAGTATTTCCCATATTCCTGCAGTCGTCCACGACGCGATATTTGTCACCGGTTACCTTCGCTTGACCTCGAACCTGACTCAGGTGTTCGGCGTTGAGTTACGCCATTTCAACATCAACTTGGACAATGGAGAGCGGAGAGGAAACACGATAATTAGGTCGTTCCACGTTTATTGTTTCTGATAATAATCGCTCAGATTTATTGTGTTCGCGCGAAAGGCGTTCAAGCTTTCATCGCTGATACGAGAATCGTGTGAACTTCAACCTTTGTTTCCGCCGCAGTTGTGGTTTTGGATTCGGTGAAGATAAAAGAAAATGAACGATCTCGTAGAGGTTTTTCTTTTAGAGGAAATCCTATCTTTCTACAGTGCGTTGTTTCGGATTTTTATCCGATTTTAATGAAATCTAATGTTTGTTTTCTCGTACTCCTTTTCCTACTCTGTGAAACAAACTACGGTACATGTATACTAGCGACTTCCACTTGGTGTAACCAAGACGGGAAATTGAAATTAGTACCCATATAAAATATTTGAAGACCGTGTACGAAATCCATGCGGCGATACAAACATGGTAATATTAATCAACACAAAGATATCTTGAATAATTGATGTACTTTCCTACCAGATTGTCGTGCGGTTGAGCGGAGGCAATTTTAAGGTATGTTTCTGTTCGCAGTAATCGCAGTGTCTGGGTTGTGTATAGTTCGTGTAAAGACTATTACACCAGCAAATATTATACCTTAAATAGTATGGGTTTTAAAACATGCTTCTCAATAATTATTGGAAGCGTAACTTATGTTAAATTAACCCAAAATTTGCAGAAAACGTTTGCCAGTAGGTACAGTCAGTAGGTACACTTGAACATACTGAAACATGCATCAAAACACACATACAATTAGGTTTATTTTATTAGGTTTATAATTAATTTATAATAGGTTCAGAAGTCACTAGTATCTGCACCCTACTATAATTATTGTTTTCACCATCAATGAGGTGTAGACATAAAATCGTATACCACACCAAGACAACGTACAACTTTTTGTAATCATTGTTTGAAAAGCAACATTGCTTAGTAACGAAAATCATTTCGAGATTCGTTCCACTCAAGAGTTTACTGGCTTTTAACTCATAGAATGGCTCTGGATTTAACTCCCGCGGGTGCAGCTGCGGGTGGAATTATTAACCTTAGCCCCAGACAGACAGACGTTATGATGACGTCATCTCATTAGTGGCCCACATGTGGTCTCCGGATGTTCCAGAGTTTAGGACAATGAACGAGACATGAACTTCCATCAAACGTGGTAAGTTCTTTGAATGTAATTAGACACGGTGTTGTATGGCTATTAGGAGATCACAACCATGTAATTTAGACTCAGACAACCGCTATGTCGGTAATTTAAATGCTAATCGATATATGAAACTCTCGGTCATGTTTATTCAATTATTCTATGAAACGTTATAATTAACGATTGTCCACACCTCGATTGTTTAACGTAAGCAAACCGAATGGGTTTAGTATTGTTTACTTGACGATTAGTTGTGTATTCATCTATAGGCTGATACTATCAAACGTGGGTTTTAGTTGATCGGCCCCTATTAATTGTCTAAGTACGGTATATAGTTATTTTGTAGTGTCCTGATAGTTTTGAACGATAGATAATCTTGATAAGCGATAATCCAGAGCGATACAAGTTCCATATATTCTTTTTAGGAGGGATGTTTTCGATAGCGAGTTCAAGAAAATTTGATTTTACTATTTTTTTCTCATTCCCTAGAAAAAATTAACTATTTGGGGGCGTGGATTCTCCAATATGCCGCCCACTTACATGCGAGAGGGTAGGTCCGGGGAAAAGATTTAATGTTGGCAAAGAAAAACAAAGAAAGTAAATTCTGTTGTCACTAGGTAATTCAACTAAACTGTTTATATTTTGAAATTTGTAAAAATAATTTAAAACCATGGAAACAATGCATTACATCTTCATTTATGGCGATGCAGTATCAACATATTCAACTCAGGATGGAATAGTGAGTAAAATTCTTAATATCTAGCGTAGGTTTCTTCATGAGTATGATATCCTAAAAACCTCATGGTGTAGTAAAGTATGAAGTATTGTACTATTATTGCTACCAATCGTAATTTCATTACATGGAAATTGTTGAAATATACGGGAAGTGTAACTGTCAACTATTTAGGAATCATATTTAATTTCAGTGTCATGATAATCAAGACGTTTGTTGACAAAATGTTTTTTTGGTATCTATTAAGTTAGGGGAAATGCCAGAATCAGTGGTGTAGTCTGTGAGACGTGCACGTGACTAATAGAGTTTATGAACCAGTCATGTATTTTTCTACCCTCGTAATAAATAGGAGATTAGTTCATGGTTCCTTATTTGCACGAGTCGAACCGAGGCGCGTCTCGATCCTACCCTTGCGAATTCTTCGGACATGGGGTTGACAGTTGCTTTTCTGTCCGTTTCCCTTCCACCATCATGTGAAATGGTATTTAAGTTGGCATATTATTATCCTCTCACTTACCAAAGAGGATTTCAGAGAATTCTTATAAGGAGTTAACCTCCAGTTGGACAAAGAATAACAAAAATAATAACAAATATGTATTGATGAGAGTTCATGTTCAATAATGAGATCTAAGAACTTGATTTTCATACTTTCAGTAGTTTTATATGTATACGGATCATAGATGTTTTACAAACTGTTTGTAAGCTAATTTGGAAATCTTTTAAAATGATTGTCGATGCAAATTACCCAATAATATTATTAGAAATCATCTCAGTTTAGACCACAAAGATAAAACTGTCATTTGTGCACAGTTAAATATGCTATGTTGAGCAAGATTTGAGTTGTTTGAACAAAAACTCTACAGAGTGTGCTCATATCTACTAGAAAATTGTTTAACATCTGGTAGACATAAATGAAAAGTAGCATTACCAAAACAAATATTGAGACTCTGACTATAAAAATGTTCAAAGAAAATTTTAAAGAAAATCTTTAACGTAAAAAAAAAACTTTAATGAGATTTACTTACTGTATACTGTAATCCTTAGTATGTAGTCGGG